AGAAAATATCTTAAAATCAACTTCAAAATCAAATTCAAAAATTCAAATTTTGGTATTTTCATTTGTTTATTAGGTCAACGATGTGACTCTTAAATTTAAATTTCATGACCGTTTCTAAAAATAATAATAACAAAATAATGCCGTCTTATTCTCATCCCTACTAAAATATGATACTCTTTCAGAGAAACCGTGAAAAAAAAACCTTTGATAATTCACTAATGTTACTTTCGAGTATAACCTGCAAACGTTTTTCTTAACTAATTATAAAGTAGGTGAGGCCAAAAGAGGAAGGTTCCTAGCTACTGGAGTCGATCGAACCAAATATTAATTCCTAGCTACAGCTGTCAAAATTCGTAGCTAAAAAAATACTTATATTTTAGAAAATAGGGAGTACTTCATCCGGAGCATCAAAAGGAAACCGGGCAGCATGCGGTGAGACAAGAGGCGAGATGACGTGGCGTCGTGCCAGTGCGTCATTTGCTGTGTGGACCAGATCACCTGACATCGACTACTGTAGAGATGTCGACAGCGAAACGGGTCTAACTTGGATTTTGATTTGAGAGAAGAAGAAGGTACGGCAGCCACTCGAATCACAGGAGCGTATATACGGCTCGAGATTCGACCACGTTTGCCGTGTCGCCATCTTTCGTTTCTTACTTGGCCGCCCGCTGTACATGGTCGCCACTACTTTTTACTTGCGAGCTAACATCGATGGGAAATATACAGTGCAAATCCTATGTACAGGAAAAACTTAAAAACTACCGTTGATTAAAAAATGGACATTCGAGATTCATCCATATTATTATGAGTGAATCTACGAGTAAAATTTTTACTCATGGTGACGTAGATGAATCTCAGACGTCTATTTCTATCCAATAGTAGTTTTCAAGTTTCCATAATATTTGTAGTTTCCACCATATATTTTCCTAAGATCGAGTTACTTTTCATGTAACGTGAGGTGGTGTTCTTTGCAGTAATCAAGGAGATAAAATCAGGTCACGGAAAAACAATATTTACGTATAATTAATTAAGTTTTAATTATTATAAATTTGATAAAAGTTAACCAATGTTTTAAAACAATTTAAATAAAAGAAAATTTTCATACGAAATTCACTGTTTGACCGTTTAAAAAACGTGCTAATAAAATACCGATGTAAAATTTTTATATCTTAATAAAAAAAGACCATAAGAATTGGTTTTTCTTGTTATCGAATATAATGTTTTCTTAATGATAACCAGATTTACTATCAGGATAAGTGTGCTAACGATAGAGGCTAAGTAGCTTCCTAAGTTAAAAGGGCATTTAATACAATTTTTAATTTTGATAAATTCATCTTTTTTTTATTCTAGTACTATGATAACTACATGATTACTGTGATTACCGGGCTTGCCGCTGGGCCACGGTATGTTAACCCCTCCTCCAATTCTCCCATAATAAAAAGAAACCCTCCATATCAACACGAATATGTACGTAGAACATGTCTAGACTTAAAATCAGGAGTTGTCTTTTTAAACAGAGGTAGCATATCGGTCTAGTGTTAAGTTTTGAATAATTGAGACAGTTACATCATGCACAAGATCGATTATCTCATGAAGTCATGAAAACTTAGCTCTAGCGTGCATGCATGCATGTGTGCGAAATTGCACAAGCTGATATCAGCTAGTTTCAGTGCGACACGGTACCCAGAATAAGGCCAACAATATTAATGTACATATGTACGGGAGAAACTTATGCATTTGCTGATCCAAAAGAGCCAATTTTGCCTTTCAAGTCTTGAGAAGGCAAATATTGGTTTGCCGGTGAAGAAGAGACATTGTAAATGCTTACGTATATATACATGCCAAACCATATATAGCGTGTATATAGAATGGACACGTCATGGGTCCAAAATAGGTACGGAGCCAGTGATATTGTTGATCTTTAACGATCAAGAGCTTTGCTGAAGGGTAGGGGTGGGTCTGACCAAAAATTTTGGTTTTGATCTTCGGTCTTTCGTTTATTTCAGTTTTTAAAAAGTAAAGATCGAATTTTAACGCGAAAATATCAGGACCGATAAATTGGTCTCGGTCTCAGTCATGACTGAAATTCAACAATATTTTCATATATGCAAAGAAATAATAAAAATTTTGAACACAAAAATCACCAAAAAAATCATAAGCACGTATGAGTAAGGACTCTTATTAGATTGCATGCCTAGAAGAGGTAGAGATGTAAAAATTAGAGTTTAATCCTATTGAATTTAGTGAAATTGTAGGTTGCATTTAGATATTTTTTATTAATTTGATCTTTTCGGTTAACCGAGGAGACTAACCAAATTGACCGAACAAAAATTCAGTCTTTCACTGCCTATGACCGAATTTCTCGGTCTCGGTCTCGGTCTTTCGGTTCGGTCTTTTTCTGCCCACCTCTACTGATGGGGAAGTCTTAGCAGCCGGCTGACTAGTCTGGGAGTTGGCTAGATCGCTGATCCAAAATAGTACTCCCTCTATTCACATTTGATCGTCATATTTCAAGTGTGCAGCAAGACCAAGACAAATAAAATATCTTCTATTAATCATTTAATTTGTCCCTTCAATTTCTTGCATGCGATTTTTAAGGTAGGCAGGCATTCAATTTTTATTCAACCAAGGCCTTGCATGCAAACTGAATGGCTAGGAAACCAGCACTTCCTTGAATGCATGCAAAAGCATTAAATCAGCATACAAACCAAAGAGCCATGCATCCCACCTAAGGTTAATGCACTGATCAATTTTGAATATTTCATTTTTGTTGAGGCGTCGATCAAATATAAACAGAGGGAGTACATGGCAGGGCCGCTGTGATTACATGATCTTACCTTGCCCTCACATCATGCTATCAACTAACAACCAACATGATGCATACTAATGTTAAGGTGTTGTGCATCAACCGCATATCGCTGAACCCACTCAATGAATCAACCTATGCTGTCCTCTGTCATGCGGTGTTTGCACCAGATCGAGATCATCTTTACGGTTTCGTAATTTTGTTACACTATGTGTAGTAGAATTGTATGTACATTGAGTTGTCCTTGTCTTGTTACAATCAAATTCTATCTAACTACCGGATCGGAGTTGATAATTAAAGCTAAGATCCAACTAGAACACTAGGTTAAAAGGAGCTCCATGTATCGCCATTACCTTGTTTTGCACAAGAAGGAAGGTTGACGAAGTGCCACGACCTTCAAGCCTAACATACACAGTTATGCGTATGGACTCCATGTCACATCATCTTATAACCAAATTTGTGCACCCCTCATGTAATAGAGAGTGACACTAGCTAGCAGCGCATGGTGTTTTCATGTTTCAATATGATCCTCATGATAAAAAAAGAGGCATAAATTTAGTTTGTGCTAAGATGAACGTACCATGGAGGGGAGATGTAGAATCTACTTGCAGTAGTAGTTCGAAAATTATGAAAGAGAAAGTAGAGTAAGGATATCGATATCTCCAGTGTTACCTCAAAATAGAACGAAGCAAGCACAAAGAAGAAGACTTGGTTTGGTTTGATCAATAGAACAACTAAACCAAACAGTTATATTCTGTCATTTCACATCAAGTGTGAAAGTATAGTAGGGTAAGGTAGACGCTAATATAGGAGGAGGTAGTGGTGAACGAGGACAAAAAATGCTACCGGATGGAGGTCTCCTTGGATGGATCAAGGTTCCTATCGCTCGATAGACATACTTGTCGTCAGATCAAGCTCCACGCCGATGAATTGATGCGCCCATCACAGATCAAAGTTCCACGCTCCTAGATTGGTGTGCCTAGATCGGAGTTCCTCTTGGCTACATGAGAGCTCAACTCCACCGGATCATCAGATTATTGTATCTCCTTGTAGTCGGTGATAGTGTTGGATAACATATGCTCATGTCAACAAAGAATGCTAGAAAGTGGGAAGGAGAGGAGGAATGAGATTATAAAAGGAATTACAAATTTAATACCTTTGTGAGTCCAACATAAAACGTTCCATGTACTACAAGGAATACAACCAAACCAAGATTACATGCAATGGGACGTACGAATCTAATTTGGTTTGAACCTTCGCACATACATGTAGCATTTAAAACGTAAATAACATATTATATGAATAGCCCAATCATTTTAGTATTTCTATAACAGAAATCTCCTAAACCGTGGCTCAAAATTTAGCATTGGTATATTAGAGCAGGTACAATAGCAGGCTATAAGCCAGCTATAAACATATTTTAAAGAAATAAAGGAAGAGAGAGAAGAGCAGCGGGCTACAGATCTATAGCCAGCTGCAGCACGGACTCCAAGACGTAATGTGTGTATGACAGGTGGGACCAGGTATTAATAGTATAGTAAGCAACTATTGTATGAATTGGCTATTACATTGGCTATAGATTATTTGGAGCTAGTAGTGGGCTATACTATTAAACTTGCTCTTATACATGCGCATAGACCTAAGACCTAGCTACACAAACACAATTAATACTTCTTAGTACTAAATCTCACTATCAACGGGTACAGCTGCCGAATCAAGCACAGTAACCAACCCCAGCACGTGCTTAAGTTTTTGCTTGTAACGTTTCACCACTCGTCTTATTCAAATTTTTTTGCAAATATAAAAAGCGAAAAGTTGTGCTTAAAGTACTGTATATAATAAAGTAAGTCACAAATAAAATAATTAATAATTTTAAAATTTTTTAAATAAGACGAGTGATCAAACGTTTGTAAGCAAAAACCTAAAATCCATTATATTATGGGACGAAGAGAGTAATAAACAACAACAGTCACAACCACAACCATATGCCCCCAACGTGCACAAATTCGTACACAAACCCCCACCCTAAAATAGCAGAAGCAAAACTCATCACAACACAGAACACACACACAGTAAAGCTAGTCTGTCCACAGATAATCCCAACACGAGATCCACCACACATCACAAACCACACAAAAGCCGCAAATTCTTTTTTCTTTTTTTTTCTCGCCTATTTATTGCCTCCTCCACCCTCTCCCCTCCTCGCCTACCACCACCACCACCGTCGCCGCCGCCGCCGACTGAGAAGAGGAAGAGGAAGAGGGGAGATTCCGCCGCCGACGAGAGGTGGGGGGGAGTGGGTTGTGATCGTGAGGAGGGCTCTCATCCCTAGACGGGCGAGTTGAAAGGCGGCAAAGACGGCTAGCGTTGAAGCGGTCGGGCGCGGCCACGCAGCTGCGCCGCCCACGCCCAGTGGGGGAGCCATCGCTTCTCCGGCGACGGCGTCCAGCCCAGCCCCGCACGGCGGCCGCGGGGCGCTTCCCTCGGCCGGCGGCAGCCCCTCTGACCTCCTCTTCCTCGCCGGCGGCGGTCGCCTCTGAGACCGCTCGCCCCCCCCATCCACCTTCTCTAACATCCAATCAACAAAAATCTTTCGCTGACCTGACCCTGACCCCGAGAGAGAGGAAGGAATTGAGATTTAATCATGGAGATGAAGCTGACCATCAAGCGGGTGCCCACCGTGGTTTCCAACTACCAGGAGGATGCTGCCGCCACCGCCGGCGAACGCCCCCGCGCCGGCTGCGGGAGGGATTGCCTCGGGGATTGCTGCTTGCCCGGTGAGTCTCTTCCTCCCAAATCAGGATTAAAAAAACTCTTAGATTATTTTATTGTCTTATTATTACACCTTGGATTCCGAAATCCTGGTTACAGTTTTCTTCTGTGATGATTTTCTTGATTCGTTTGATTAGAAAAATGGTTGTGCTTATTTTTGTTGGGTATAACTTGAATATTAAATTCATCTTTCGTCGCAAATTAAAAAAAAAAGAAGAATAAGAACATCTTTGCAACTTCCAAGAAAGTTGGAGGATCCTGTCACCACTAGTAGGAAGGATGCTTTACCTTTGCTATTTTTAACCCCTGCGGTTAAAATATTGTTACTGGCCTACTGGGAATGTTTTTGGGTTCACCACTTGTAGTTTGGTTTCCTCCAACTTGGTAGGATAAAAATAGGAGCCACATATTATTTTACTTAGATGCTTCAAAATCTTATAGGGAATATAGGCACCACAAAAAAAAAATGTGTGGATAGGCTTACTACCACTTGTTTTTAAGTGAATTAACATTTTTTTTCTTGCATTTCCTTGAGCAGATTCCAAGCTTCCGCTGTATGCTTTCAAGGCGAGTCCGAAAAAGCCGTCTTCGCAGGAGGATGCTTCCAACGATGAGTTCTTTGTCAATCTCCTGCTCGGCCTGGTAAATACTAAATAGAAGCTTACACTTTAAATTTCGCACAGGAGAAGTTCAAGTATTTGTTCTGTATTGCGCACAACTACGAAATCTTGTTAGCTCTCTGGAGAGCTACTGAGGCAATTAGATAAGATATTTGCCCTATGTATTATAGTAGCGTTCGGTTGTGCAGTTTTGGGTCATCACCAGTTTGGTCCAAGCCTGTTACATGTGTTTGTTTCAAATTTCAAATGGGCAAGTATCGGATACTCTGTAATTGGATCCAAAAGATCGTTATGCTCCCTATATATCCACTGGAAATGCTTACCGATTCTGACTCGTTTCCTCCTACATGCGAGCTAAGATGTGAGACGTTATATTTTGTGATTATCAACCTACTAGTTAAGTTGTGGAAAAATATTGTCAAGAAGTAACAATTGCGTATATTTATGACGTATAACCTGCATGGAAGTTATGATGAGCACCCATGCACGCATTAAAGAAATGTTCTTCAATTTTGAGCATCCAGCATTCATGTTTGAGTGTATATTCTCTTTTTGTTGCTTTTGCATGCTCTTACTATGTTTTCCATGCAATAGAAATAATATATGCATGAAGTTATTACTAGCCAAATATACACCAGACAGCATTATTTGCGAGATGGTATTGCTGATTATGCAAGTAACAAATAACTAATCCCTCCGTTTGTTTTATGATATAATCTGTCCTGTGTTTATAATAGGCATCTGTGTAACCATGTTACGATGCTTATGTAAGAATACTGAAGTTCAAATTTTGTTTGTTTATTGCAGTGGGAAGACAGGATGGCCCGAGGTTTGTTCCGATATGATGTCACTGCCTGTGAGACCAAGGTTATCCCAGGCAACCTTGGGTTTGTTGCACAACTGAATGAAGGACGCCACCTCAAGAAGCGCCCTACTGAATTCCGCGTGGACCGTGTGCTTCAACCATTTGATGCTGCCAAGTTCAACTTCACCAAAGTTGGCCAGGAGGAGGTGCTCTTCCAATTTGAGAATGGTGGTGGTGATGACAGCTTCTTTGTGGAGAGCTCCCCAATCAGTGTTGCTGATCGTGCTCCTAATGTTGTTGCAATCAATGTAGGCTACATTCGCACTGGTAATCTATTTTAATTCTGATATTTATGTATTCTTGGTGTTAACATTTCTATTTGACACTCTGCAGGTAAGCCCAATTGAATATGGCCATGTTCTTCTCATTCCCCGTGTACTGGACCGCCTGCCTCAGAGGATTGACCAGGAGAGCTTCTTGCTTGCACTGCACATGGCTGCTGAAGCCGCAAGCCCATACTTCAGGCTTGGCTATAATAGTTTGGGTGCCTTTGCAACCATCAACCACCTCCACTTTCAGGTACTCTTCACATGGTTTTGGAATTTGTTTACTGTTGTATCTACTTGTAGCTGTTAGATAAATCATAAATCTTCCAGCATGCAAAATTGCACGAACTGTGTTTTATATGGGTACATGTATTTTCAGTTGTTACAGTGACACTGAACTTTGCGTATCTGCAGACCAAACCAAAAATAGACTTATTGTTTGTATGGTTGCTAGATTAATTTACTTTGATGTAAATGTCGATCTTGTTAAAACTCCTGGTTCCCTTGTCCCAATGCCCATACAGATACATCTAGAGGAGTCATATTTTCTTTAGTGAAAAACAGCGTTCCCATTATGTGTGCATTTGATCTGAACAATTAGCTGATAAAGCTACCTGTACGAGTGTATGTTATAGTGTTGTGTTTACAATTGTATACTAAATCATTACCTGCTTCTTTTATCCACAGGCATACTACTTGACAGTGCCTTTCCCTGTTGAGAAGGCAGCTACCAAGAGGATTTTCCTTGCTGAGGGCACAATGAATAGTGGAGTAAAGGTGTCCAAGCTGATGAACTACCCTGTGAGGGGACTGGTTTTTGAGGGAGGCAACTCACTGAGCGATCTGGCCAATGTGGTTTCCAGCGCTTGTATCTGGCTGCAGGACAACAATGTGCCTTACAATGTTCTTATCTCTGACTGCGGCAAAAAGATCTTCCTCTTCCCTCAGGTAAAATGATACATGCATATAACCTCAATATTGACTGAACTGTATATGCCCATGCATTTACTTAGTTCTATCCACTAACATTGATATCTCAGACTTGTTGTCACCTAGCTGATCTGTATAAGGTCGCTCTAGTAAACTTTTACTTGTTCCTAACAAAAAAAACTATGGTGTATGAGTTTTAGCATGCTATCAACAATTGTGTGAAATGTTTGTGATTTCTTTCTAAGCTTCATCTGTTTCCGAAATACAGTGCTATGCCGAGAAGCAGGCTCTGGGAGAAGTGAGCCAGGAGCTACTGGACACGCAGGTTAACCCAGCTGTGTGGGAGATCAGTGGCCACATCGTGCTGAAACGAAGGAGTGATTACGAGGAGGCATCAGAAGCTTCTGCGTGGAGACTCCTCGCTGAGGTTTCCCTGTCGGAGGAACGCTTCGAGGAAGTGAAGGCCTACATCTTTGATGCCGCTGGTCTGGTTCAGTCCGACGAGGAGGAAGTCAGCGAAGACGAGGACGCCACCTACACGCCTGTCTCCATTGCCCCTCCTGCTGTCGCGGAAGGCTGCCTCGTCCTTCAGTGAGACGGTAGAACAGGTTGTCGGCCTGGTAAAGCGCTGTGCCGCCTTCGTCTTCTCATCAGTCTTCTTCAGTCTTCACCCGCTGGTCGCCTAGCTTCGTCATAGTTATGGTTGCTGGTCTTTTATAAGGATCAATGTAATCGAACTGCCTGGAGTCTTGTGTCTGAACCTGCATGCTACTTGCTCCTCCCTTCCCTGCTGCTCTGATATTCAGACTCTGCAAATATTAAGCAGAGAAACTGTGAAACTGTTTGTATTGTTTGTGCTGTTGAGCACTGGATCTAATGTGATGAACATTGTTAATAACTACACATCTTCCCTGATCTGTTTGCTTGTTTTACCTTGTCGTGGGGGGTTCTTTTGCGTCATTGATGTTAATTTAGTTTTTATATTCTTTTCTTGACGTACACTGTACACACCTATTCTTTGTTCCTTTACAGCTGCGAGTAAATTGTTAATTTATATGAAGTGGCCATGTTACAATATAATTATCATCTGAAAAACAGAGTTGAATTGGATTGGCATTTTGGCATACATCGATTGGGAAATTTAGTATCAGACTAGCTGCAACTGAAACTACATGACTAGAAGTGTAGAACTGAATATATCTATCAGCAGGTAGCAGCAATGGCTGCCTGCCGGAACTAATAAAGCTGCTGCTTTATCTCAATTTTCAACAGAAGAGGCTAAGCAAAACTGGGGGGTAAACGATACATTTTTCTCTTAACTAGCACAGTACTACCCTTGTTCGTTTTACAGCCTGAAATTGTTGATTTAAGATGACAAAACTGAACTAGCTGTTGTTACAACAAAATTTTCATCTTTGACTTGATAAAGAGTAGCTCCTCTTCGCTCACCATCTTCCACACCCCACCAACTAGCAACCTACCCTTCAGAGGAAATGCCAGTTCTGGCATATCTGAAATCTCACATTCTTCAGGTGATGGTCTTGATAATTCCGGAATTCTTTCAGCATCCAATTGCTTCTCTGGGTCAGAATAATAGCCGATCCTCTCAGTATGATCATCAGGCTCAACACTTACATGTTGCTCTAATATTTCATCTCTTGATTCATGATCTACGACGTCAAGGGTCGGAAGAACAGCCACTGAACTAAATGAACAAGGTATCATTCCTATTGGACAGGGGGTCCAAGACTTTGCTGTAGACCATCTGTTACGTTTCTCTGGCATGATTGTGTTCAATGAAGCCCCGGTGTCATTTTCTGCCAAACGTAAATCCTTCTGTTTCAACCGCGACTTGAACATTTCCAGCTTCTCTGTTGCTTCCTCAACTGATTCCGTTTCTTTGGTGGGCTCTGGGAGGGTAGAATCTCTAGCCACCTTTCCCAGGGATAACATAGGAAGCTTCCTCAGTTTCTCCTGCACATTGTTGGTGGCCATCTCAATCAGCACTAGGGCTGCATCTATGATACATCTTTCATCTATAATAGACAAACTCAACAGCTTCCGCAGAAGTTTTGCTAGACAGAAACGTGGGACTGCATTCCTGTCTGAAGAGAGCACTCCTATCTCATGGACAACTCCAATGCAACCTGAATCCTTCAATTCTTTTAACTTTGTCACAAGCCACAGAACATGGGAACTTAAAAGTTCCACTTTAGCTGGCAGGCTAGCATTGTATTCACCTATAAATATAACAAAAAACAGTAAGGGCAGATTCATACTGGAGTAGTGCTAATACAACTCTAAAACGAGCCAGGAATGAAATGCTAGCATCAAGTAACAACAGTGAAATAATAAAAAAAAACAATAATCTTTCCATGGCCGGATTATGGCTTTGGAAACAGTGCATGAAGTGAACTGACTTCAGTACCTTTGAAAACATAACATCTAGCCTTAAGAACAGTACCTTTGTTTTCAAGGTCTTCCATGGTCTCAATTGTTTCAATTACTGACTTCAGTATGCCAAGCAGCAACCTTGGTTCCTTTTCTGATAATTTAGTTATGATAGTTCTCATATCATTATTTGATATTTCACTGTGAATATCAGATGACTGATCTACATCCTTATCAGTTTCTAACACATCGCTATTTTCAGAGGACTCTGGGGCACCACGTTGGAAAAAGTCCAATATAACAAAGGCAACCTCAGAAGGACATGCGTAGTAAAGCCGGCGTACATATTTTATGTTTCTCGAAATCATTTTCTCAGAACCTGCAATACAGGGTCATGAAGATGATTATAATTATCATATAACTTTATCCATCTGAAATGAATGCTAAGTCATAATTTATTATCATGTCAGTGTCAAATGGTAGCAACCAAACTAATTCAATAATGTTCATACATCAGATACTGAATGGTAACAAACAATGATGATGCTTGTAGTTACACCTGTAATCCTCTATAGTATGTTCAATAATTCTGCACTAGTGCAGTTAGGATTAATAAAAGAGACATGCAACAGAAGAATTTCATGAGCTGTATGACCACATTATCAAGTATAATCCTAAGTTTTTCTCAGTACAACGATAAAAAGAAGCATGACATTCTAACATGCAAAACCGAAGCAACTATAAGTAAATGAAACCAACACAAATACAGAATAAAATGACGGTAACATTGTACTCCAACAAGCTTGAATTGGGCATCACATTACATGTGACCAAGATTTTGTCGTACCATCAAGTGTAACATTAAGTGATAGCTAAATCACACAATTGGGAACAGATTTGCCTATTTGCAGTTAAATTTGTTAGAAAAATGTAAGGCACAAACTTCCTAATTTGCCTAAGAGAACTAGCGAAGTGTGAAAAACAAAACCTACCAAGAACAGAAAAGGCTGATAAAAGTCATGTACAAGTTGTAACTTTAATATTCAAACATAAGGCCGACCAGAAAATTCTGAATGCTAATCAGGAGGTTTTCAGAGACATGGCATGAAAAGACCGATTTCTCATTGCCTGCAGAGAAATCTTAATGCAACCCCAAGTAGGGAAACCTATATTTGGCTATATAGGTCCTGAAGAAACAGACAAGACCCAGATCTAACTGAATCACAATTTCAGACTATAAGCTGATGATACTCACGTTTCCTTTTTGAACCCGACTTTGCTTTCATTGAATCTTTTCCCTTCATAAAGTTATTGATCTCATGCAATTTTGACCTTACTTCAACTTGAACATCAGGAATAGCATTAGTCTGGGAATCCCAGTAAATACACTTCAACCAATCAAATGCCTGAAAATAATCTCAATTGGTGAGGCAAGATACAGTAAACAAAACTTACAAATAACACTGAAAAGTATTCCTAATAACCAAAACCCAACACTCAGCAGGATTAAAATAACTAGCAATTAAGAGTCCTTCTAAACATTAACCAACAAATTATACCTTAATGGCTGCCAATCGTAGCAGCCGAAGAGAGGGAAGAGTGCGATGTGAACTCTCTACAAGGGACAGATAATTTTATTAGCTCGACTGCAACAGGGCCACTTCAAAGGTTGATGCAACAAACAAAATCTTCTAACCATGACGAATGTCGACAAGAACTCGTGGTATTCCAACAGCCTCAGCTAATTCAGATATTGAATAGCCAGTTTTCTTATGTGGGTTCTCCACAAAACCATTTACGAGCCTGGAAGTAGAAAATTCTATGGTTATTCTCTTTCATAAAAAAACCAACTTAAGTAACAACTGAAAATAGGATACATTATAAAGATAAACCAACAAAAAGGAGCTTTGAACTAGTACGATCAACAATTCAGCTGTGCTATAAAAAGACTCACTTTTCTCATTGCCATATTGCCACCTTAAGTACTGTTAAGCTCTAATTCTATATTATCCATAGGTGCACTATTAATTGCTTAGCAATCTCCTAAACCATGCAATATGCTATTGCGGAAACCACTGTAACTTAAAAAGTCGGCTTCCTTGCACAAAATAAGTTGTTCCATGCAACATTTGAAACCCACCCACACAATAGTAGTCTTTCCTTCAGCAGCATAACAATGCTACGAAACAATTTGACACATTACAATTTCCAATTTGAGAGTTCTTCCCCATACATCACAAAAGCGCAGATCGCGGTAGGAATGCACTCGCCTCATGATCGCCATACTATACAGCATCGACAGCATCTCTTCCGACTCCAGCGCATCATCCACAGCCATTACACTCCTATAGGAAACAAAACCATCACTCCATCATCACCTTACAATACAAACACACCATCCCCAACTCCCACAGCCACAAAACCCACAAGGGTAAAGAACTTTGCACCAATCAAACATAATAATAACATTACCGGAAGAAGGGATCCCGCAGCCGTATCTCGACGAAAGCCGCGGTCACATCGACGGGGACCGGGAGGGTGCCTCTGCTCCTCCACGCCGCGATCTGAACCAAAAAAAAGAAAAAAAAACAAGCGAGACAGTCACAAATCACACTCCGTTTGCTGAAATTTTTTGGGGGATTTTGCGGCGTGGGGGATGGGGGAAGAAGAGCGTTACCCTACGAAGAGCGGCGGCGGGGGAGGCGGAGAAGAGGCCGTCGCGCACGTGCCGCCACTCCGCCCAGCTCGACCACGGCACCAGCTTCCGGCCGGTGGAGAGGCCGCCGCCGCCTCCGCAGAAGCCACCCGTCGCTTCCGGCGCCGCCGCGTCCATGGGAGCCAAGCCAAGCGGCAGCGCGAGACCCGCACTACTACTCGCGGCGGCGGCGGCGAGGAGCGGAGGTGGGAGCAAGGGACAGCGGCGGCGGGAAGGGGGAGGGAAGGTATCGCCCGCGACTTGGGCCGTGTGTCCCACGTGGGCCGAGGAGCTAATTGTTTTCTGGCCATGATGGGCTCCCTCGAGCAGATTTTAATTAGTCCAGGAACAAGAAGTTCAGTTCATGTCCCTCATCTTAGAGTCAGTTTCAAGCGGGTCCCTTAATCTCAAAACCTGGTACAACGTATCCTCACGTTCTAATACGAGTGTCAACGAGATCCCAGGGCAGCATGGAGCCTGGGTTTAGCTGATGTGGCGTTTACGTGGCACATCAATTAGAAAAAGAAAATTACAGTGAGCTGCACGTGTTAGTGAAACATACCATCATTTCTTCCTTCCCTACCTCCTCTCTCCTTTTTCTGTGTGCACAAACATTAGCGGTGGAGGCCGGCAAGGTCGAGCTCGCCAGCTCATCGATGGGAAGGCGGAAGCGTGGCGACCAGCAGTGGGTGGCAAGCGAGGAGCTTCTCACATGGCCTTCTCGCTTCCTAGACCATCGCTGTGGCGTGGGGTGACAAGAGGAGGCAGCGGCGGTGAAGCAACAATAGCATAAGCTCGACTGCGGGGGAGATCGCAGGAGGAGGCGAAGGCCGATGATGGGAAACCCACCAATTTGGCTGAGAGAGCTCACTCGTCTCCTCGGTCCTCTCCTTAGAGCCATCCTCCGCCAAGACGAGGGCTGCCAAGACGTGGAAGGAAGGTCTAGAGGCCGGAGGTCGAGAGGAAGGTGAGGCTAGGAGCACGAAACCCTCCCCACCACCTCCTATAGAATGGCGCACCTCGACGCCGAGCTTCCCATCCTTCCAAATCAGTGAGACAAGTGCCATCCACTACAAGTTATCCCCGAGCTGCATCCCTACAAGGAGGCTCCTTGTCTCTAGCTCGAGGTTAACCATGGGGCAGCAGCGGGTCCATGCGGTGGATGTAAGCCCATGATGAAATGCATGTTCGTTCCCCTTTAGGAAATCTTCTAGAAGCAAACCAAATCAAACCCCACCCTCCAAGTCTCCTGACTCCATGGCACAACTCTCTCTATCTCTCTGACTCCGGCGGCTGCAGAGGGAAGTGGCGCCGCTCCTGCGAAACCAGCCGCCAAGGCCGCGGAGCTACGGAAGTGCTCCTCTTGTTGCTCAGCATACGACCGCCGTTGCAACGCACCCGCGACGCCGTGGTGTGCTACCTAATATAGACGCTAGCTGCCCCAGGTGTCCTCTCCCAGCGCGATTTGGCCATCCTAGAGGCGAAGGCCGAGCGCTTCAATCGCTATGTTTGCTCCAACTAGATAAGAGGATGAGGAAGAGAGGATAGCGAGGAAAGAAAGAAAGAAAGGATGACACATGTGGGCTTCATGGTTTTTATTTTTTCCTTATGAGTGACACGTGGGTTCCACTATATTTATTTATTTTTTGATTGTTATGTTATGTAAGTGCCACCACGTGAGATGAAGACCAAGTCAACATGCTACGACAGTGTCACGTTAGTTGAAACCACCGTCTAAATTTATTCTTTTCCCATGTCGGTGACATGTGGATTCATGGTTTTTCCCCCTTTTGAGTGACATGTAGGTCCCACTATACCACATGAGATGAAGATCAAGGGTGTGTTCGCATGAATATGTTTCCAACCCAAATAGTAAACACGGAAAACTGAGCGGTTCATTAACATATGATTAATTAAGTATTTGCGTTTTTTTTCAAAAAGGATCAATATGGTTTTTTTAAGCAACTTTTGTATAGAAACTTTTTGAAAAAAAACATACCGTTTATGAGTTTGAAAAGCGTGCATGCGAAAAGCGAGAGTAGGGAGTTGGGAACCATGTGTGAAATCATTGTCATGATTAATATTTGTGATGAACAATTGGCTGTGCAAATGATTTTATCAATGAATTGGTTTGAAAAGATGTGTGGATGTTGGTGTGAGTGCGTGTGACTAATGTGGGTCAGGTTGTGATATCTGTGCCCAGAAACGGTTTTTTTGTCTGATTGTGTGCAGATGACTTGAGGTCAGCCTTGGTCAATGGTGAGGACCGGGACTATGTTCAGGGAGGAACAGAGGTCTAGTGCGGTCGGGATACCATGTGAGAAGGTGACTAGAGTCAGAATTCTTGGAGGTCAACTTCGGTCAACGGTGGGGATCGGGACAAGACTTAGGGAGGAGTTGAGATCCAGACGGTCAAGGATACCGGGTGACGAAGTTGGATACGAGATGGTATACGGTGGATGGACACCATGTGAGAGAGATCTTCGCAACGGGCTTCACGAGATGTGCGTGCAAGCGTGGGTGTTCGCGAGGAGGAATGAGAGAAGATAGAGATGTTCATGTACGGTGGAGTACATGGTTGCTATACTCGATGTACTTAGCGTGTAGTTTGCATGTACGTGATGTACATGTGTGCAGATAGCATGCATGTGTGCATGGTGTATGCATGTCCGTGACTTGGACTGGGAGGAGCAGCAGCGGCTCGGTTGGATGGCATGTCCGACCCCGAGCAGGAAATGGCAGGCGCACGGGTAGGTTGCGGCTGTGTGTTTTGGAAATTTTGGATTGAGTCCTGTTGAAAATAGCAGTTCTACACTTATTTTAAGTAGGAGTTTTTTTTTTATAAATAGAGAGGGAGTGTGAGGTTTCCTGTATCGTTTTTCAGAGCGTGGAGTTGATAGTTTAGTTAGGGTTTCGAGTTTAGTCGAGATTTTTGTAAGGAGTGCTGTTGTTGCACTTTGTAAACACAGAGAGAAGCAATAAAGTTGTCATCTACTTTGAGAGTTCTTCGATTTGTGTTTCTCCAGGTTCAGGCGGTAGGGAGGTGATCCGACCGGCGGCGACAGGACTACGTCGAGATTTCCATCGATTTGAGGGTAACTTTTATTTCCGCTAAAAGTTTTTGGGTTTTTGGTTTTCCCTACCATTCACCCCCCTCTGGTAGGCTTGGTTACTTGTGTTCGATCCTACACCATGTCTTGTAAACAGAGCCCAAGTCAACATGCCGTGTCGGTGTCATGTTAGCTGAAATCATCATCTAAATTGTTTTGGGACTATATTTACACTGGTTTCGAAAGATGGGAATACGTTATAAAGTCGAAACTAACTCTTAGATGATGAGGGAACTAGAGTGAACTTTAATCTGAAATCCGGTGGGTGGATTGTGCTGCGGTGGGCCTTGGGGGCTTGCTGACTCAGGGTTCATGTGACCTACCAAAATCGACCAAAATAATCTCTCATCTTCAGTAAATACAACTCCATCATGCTTTTCATGCAACTAATTAACCAAACACCAGCTCATGAGTCATGTTATACTGGCTCCATCCATAGAGGCAACATCTGCACCTTTATCTAGGCTAGCTTCCTTCATCCAAAATGACTCATAGGAGCTTCACTCTCGCTATCCATCCATGATCCAAGCAAACACTATCGATTACACGTGTTGTCCATATTTATTGCACACAAACAACCAAAAAGATCATTTGCATTCCTTTATGATTTTATCTAATTAAGCTAGCCTAATCCAGAATGACTCATACGAAGCTCACTAGGGCCATCCAGACCACCGAACAGAGAATGATGGCTACAAGTAAGTAGAACCAATTTTTTCCCCGATTACACGAAAGATAAACATGTAGTACACAATCACTATGTACGTATCAAATACGTCCTCCAGCACATGCTCAGACGGAAGGAGGATAACGGCAAATCTTCAACCTCACGAAATTCCTATTTGATATATAGCATAAGCACATATGCAAAAATATTTGTTGGCATCTTGATTTAAACTCCGATGGGTGAAATCACATACCCACGACTCCGCCATTAATTGCACCACTGCCTTCCTGAAGCACAATCGATCTATTAATTAAAAGAATTTCGATCAGCCCAACAAGGAAGAAACACATTGTTTGGTGCTCACGAAATTATTTTATGGATTAATGGCTTAGCCTTTATTACCTTATTATTATTATTTTAACTATTTTATCATTTCTAGACACTCGAAAAAAACCTTGTGTAGAGGCGATTTCTATAGTCTAGAGACACTTTTAGAGGCACTTTCAAAATCACCTAAAATACTTTTACTCTAAAGACACTTTTAGCATATTTTGCTGAATTTATCTTGTATAGACATCTTTTCGAAACTTTAAAATTTGCTTTATATGTAAAGGCATTTTTTTAGACATTTAAACCTAGAGACACTTTTCCGAATATTAATACATACTAAGTAACTAGATATAAAAGTAACTAGATACAAGTAACATGAAACACATATTTAAAGTAATTATGTGAGGTTGAGGTTGTTAGTGTATTGAAGATAAAAATGATCAACTCAAGAGTGAATACAATTCACCAAAAGACAATTATGAGACATTATTCAAAATGTCTCTACAATGATGTAAAGGCATTTTAAAAATGCCTGTATTAGGAAAATGCCTTTACAAGACATGTTTGTTGTAGTGACAATTTTCTTGAGAGGCATATACCGTCAGGAATAGCATCAGAACTGCCAAATTAATATGTTTTGTCAGCCAAACGATAAGAAATATATACACGCCAAGTCTAGATAGCAAGAAGAAGCCTATTTTATTGACGGATAACCGTAAAACAACGAGTAATTTTGATGATCAGGATTATATGCGGCCGCCAAGAAAATTAACTAACTGGCTGCAAATTAAAGAAAACTAAGTATCGACTGTCTAGAAGCACGTACTAGCTCAACTGTTGCATTTGCCACAGTTAATTTGTTTCAACAGTCGAGCCAGTTCTGTTTGTTAACTCCCTTACAAATATCGGTTTAAAAATGGAAAAACAATACAAACAAGCGCATCGATATAAAAAAAGTTAAATAATACTTCTACTAACAAAGTAATAAAACCAAATACCAAAACTCTTTGATTCCTCTCTAATAATTCATTTCCTGCCCATTATACATATACTCACTATATATATCCAAGTTTCAAAAATCGTTCAAGACATGAACAATTTCACTTTCACCATGTGTGTATAGATACAGAATTAGATGGACCCCAAAACCATCAACCATACGAGATTACGAGTCCATCGAATTGTGGTGTGGATTATGAACAGTTAGCTTGATTAATCAAGCAATCAAGCTAGATCATGAGAGCCCATTATACATTCACAAAGTTATAACCAAACACCAAAACTCTTTGATTCTCCTCTCTAGTAATTCATTTCCTGCCCATTATACATACCCACTATCCAATGTTCAAAAATCGTTCAGACATGAACAATTTCACGTATAGATACATAATTTAGATGAACCCCAAAACCATACGATAAGAGTCCATCAAATTGTGGTGTGGATTACGAACAGCTATAGCTTGATTAATTAATCAAATCAAAGCTCAATTGATCAAGCAATGATCAGGAGAGGGTGATGAAGTGGCGGAGCGAGTCGACGAGGCTGGGGGGCCAGTGCTTGGTGTCCCTGACGTAGGCGAGGTCGGTGTAGTGCGGGTCCAGCAGCGTGGCGATGGCGAACTGGTTCTCGGCGAGCAGCGCCGCGTGCTTGTCGGCGTAGAGCGCCGCCGCCAGCGCCGCGTGGATCTCCGGGTAACCCCGCAGCGCCACCGACGCGTCCTCCATCTCCGCGATGGCGTCGTCGCGGTCGCCCACCTCGTACAGCACCAGCGCCCGCCCCACGCGGGCGTACCCCGACAGCGACAGGTCCCCGTACTCCGTCGCCACCGCCGTGAACGACGCCAGCGCCGCCGGGAACTCGCCGCGCGCCTGCAGGTCGCGCCCCAGGTCCAGCAGCCGCACCGCCTCCCCGACGCGCCGCGACACCGACGCGCTCGCCGCGCGCTCCGCCGCTGTCACCGGGTCGTAGCTGGTGACGGCGTCGTCGTCCTCGCTGCTCGCCGCGCGGGGCGCCGCGGCGGCGGCGGCGGCGGCGAGGAGCAGGGAGGAGGCGGACGACGCGAGCAGATGCCTCCTCGTCGGGGGCAAGACGAAGCGGCAGGAGGTGGAACAGGTGGTGGTGGGTGGTGGTGGGGGCGGGGGCGCGCCGGCGGCCGAGCTCGCCGGCGTCACGGGCGGTTGCATGGGACGAGACGACGACGACGAGGCGCGTGCGTTCGCGCGGGTCACATGCGCGCCAAGTACGTTGGCGCGCGCGCGGAGGTGTCGTGGAGAGCACGAGGCGAGACGAGGATAAGGCTTGAGAGGCTGCACAAAAATGTGAGGCTTAATTCGGAGGAAATAAGTAAAATGACCTGTCGTTTTCTCAGAAATTAATTATTACTGACTGCATGCGTTCCAAACGATATTATATACTCGCTGCCTCATTAAAAATCAACCTAATACTGAATGTGACATATTCTATTACAACGAATCTAAACATATTTAATCCAATCGCATGTTTGTTTTTTTAGGTTATTGGTTCATTTTCTTAATTGTTATATTCAAACACTCATAACTGCACACACGTACACCCTAACTTTTATGAACGATATAGTTTCAATGAATGCACGCACGAATAACATACCCTTATAAACACATCCATGAGACTGGATTGGATATGGACGAAACTACCATAAACGACTCACGCTATCAACTGTCATATCGCTTACCACTAAAAAGATAACTAACTATAAATACGAATATTCGTGTCGAATTAAAGATTGAAATTTAGATAAACAAGTTTCACTATAAGAACTTAACATTCAAACTCATATTTAAATTGCACGTTGACCTTGACCTAGTTTACATTGATGAACAGGTTCCACTGTGAGGAACTTAACATTCAAATTCATGGTAGAATTAAAGCTGAGAAAGAAAATTGCAGTCCACCAACAAATGTAACGTTAAAGCCCGTGATGTAACGTTGATGTGTTGGGCCAAAGCACTGGACTGGATCGAGCCATGGCCCAATGTGGGGCTCATTGCCCCCGGATGCATTCTTAGGCAGGAGCAAGTTCAATGTTTATATCCTCGATTGCAATACTAGATGTCTTTACCTCCAACTATTTAAATTAGTGTAATTTAACTCTTTTAGCGATTTTGAGAGTGGTTTTCGTTGACATGACTTGCTGACTAGTTTAACTGGGTGAGTCAACATTCGGGCCCACATGTCATTGCCCTTCCTCTTTCCTTCTTGTCTCTTTTCTCTCTCTTTCTCCCCTCTCCATTGTGTGGCAGTGGCGTGGAGAGGCTGACAGGAGGAAGGATGAAGGGGTGTGCCTGGGCCGGGCTCTTGCCCACCTCACCGGATTTAATCCCCCGCCCTCGACGAAATCCATGACAACCTCAAGCTGGCCGGCAAAGAAAGGGGCAATTCCTTCCACGGCGGATGGACAATGGCGAGCTCGTGAATGACCACCCCCCTACTGCCACCACGAGTTGTTCTCCACCAACAAGTGAACAACCCAAGTAGGAGTCTGCTTCCGCCTCTCAGTTGACGGACATTAAGCACTATTTAACTGTCAACTCCTGCATAAAAGAAACAAAATGTAATATCAAACTTAATGGTAGAGGTTTATTACTAACCGTTTTTACGAGTATTGGTAAATATTTGTATACAGGTAATTTTGAATGAATCTACACCCGCCATGCGACGAAATGTACCTCTAGCCAATCGTACGCGAGCACAAGAATTGAAGGGCCCGCATGAGTCAAAACCGACTAAAAATAAGCCTATCCATGGTGCACCCGCATAGGGGCTCACCAGTCAGCCTCCTAGCAAAAGGAGTAGCTGATAGGTGGGGCCCATGGGTCGGCCAACCTAGGGGGTCGACCAAACCACCATCACCACCTCTCATCCTGGCCTTCCATATGGTCATCCTTGATAACTCTCTAATGGCAGTTGCTAGCGCACTGACCTCCCAAACCGCATACAACCATCATTAACGGTTATAAAAGGAGGAGCTCAAGCCACTTTATAGCACACAACAAAGTAGAGTACATCTCACTTTCATACATTGGGTGTCACTTTAGTAGTATGGAGAAAATGAGTAGAGAGTGAGGGGAAGTCCGGAGGAGTGCCCGAGTTGTCGGTGCTCTATCCTCTCTTGTACCTCGGAGAATGCTTCTTCAATAAAGTAAGTGTTCAAGATTTCCTTTGTTATTTAATTAGCTTATTTAAGTGAGATATATTCTTATCGTTGTGGGTTTGTCGTTTAGTATTTATATTAAGTGTTCTGGTACTAGGACTCTGGATGAAGAATGAAGTTCTTACGCGAGGCTAGAGTAGTAATCAATAACTTAGGCGTGTTGCCTAGGTTAGCGGTTGCCTTCGTTTGTTTTGTTCTCCACGAAAAGTGTGGTTAGCGGCAGGTGGTGATAGCCCTGTCTGTCCGTTGTATCCCTCCATGTTCGGATACATCATAGAGCTACAGGCCGGAGTATCTTGGTAGACCAAAGGTGAGCTCGGAGGACCTAGGCAAGGCGGCAGTGGCAGGCAAGCTTGGGACCCAGCAAGGTGGCAGCAAGAAGCCAACGAGATCAGGGTGGTTAGGGAAAATATAGAGAGGGGAGAAGGCGTATGACAAGTAGGCCCCACAATTTTTATATTTTTTTCTTGTCAATTATACGTGGGGTCCATTTTTGTTTTGTATCTGGGTTGCTATATGCCAGCATAGGTGAACCAAAGTCGATGTGCCATGCCAATTAAAACCGCTCTTAAAACCATCGAGGGAGTCAAATTATATCAATTTTAATAGTTAGTGGTTAAAACATCCGGTGATGTAGTTTCGGATATGAATCAGGTTGGACCTATATTAATTTGATTAAGGGATTCAAAGGGGACTTATTCCTAGGGTTCATGGCCCACAGTGCAGGGTTAATTTAGAGAAAGAACACATGTAATCACATGAAAAAGTTGAACATGCTTCTTTTAAAGAAAACGATGAATTTGTCTTAGTTGGCATACCCCAAAAAAATCACACCATTAATACTGTCTTATACACGTATGCTTTACGCAAACACAAGCTCAGTCCTATCTTCCATTATTATGGCACGCTCTTGAATAGTATATTCATAAAGAATGTATCTAAGGAAAAACGGGTTGTTATTAGTTGAAGATATGTAGGAATAAAGAAGGAACAAACAAACAAGCAAAAGCCTTACTAGCAAACATTTTACTTTTCACACAAACATCCCTAGGTATTGGCTTCCGTTTCAGTTTATAATTGATAGCTAACCATACACCTGTACACATATTGACAAAATTAAATGACTCGATCTGCAAAACTTCCAACTTAAGTGCATTATCATTTCACAACAAATATGATCAACATGCATCGTCACTCTTAATTAAGCAGTACGTATCCAGACATGGTTGATTTCATCTAACTAACATGTGGGGCCAAGCTTCGGTTTCTAATTTTCATCTCCAAAAGTTTCTAACTTAATTTATTAATAGTTAATTCCAGGCCCAAAGCAAGTTTTCTCAAAAAATTAAGTTCAGTTTCCTCTTTAACTTCTGGGGAATGTGTTAGTATATTGTCAAACATGTATCTTTCACGAAAGTATGATGACTAAGAGCTCCCAAGTTACATGTTTGACAATATACTTAAAAATGGAAAGGAATCTAGCTCTCACTTGGAGCAATCTATTGTCCTAGTAGAAGGTAGTGTATGTCCTATCAATTAGTTCAAGAATTGCACATAATATTTAGAAAAACAAGGTATTGCAAAAACAAAAGCAGGACAGTGTGCGTATTATCTAGTTCCTACCCCCTCCACTTTTCTAATATTGCCTAAAAAAATGAAGCAATATGTTATCACAACTCACCATGCGTTTTTATACATTTAGTTGTTAAGATAAAGATTTTCTGTTTTTGTGCAGTAGGCAGATGATACAATAATTAGAACAACATACACAAACATGTTTTGCATTACAAGTAGTACGTCATCTCATTAAATTAGGTCGGATTAAAATCACCAAGCATGCATGGAGTTATAACTAATTAGTGCATCAATTCGTAGTAAATAATAGCTCATACATTCACATGAAACTACAAATAATCAATGGTACTAATACATTAAAATAATTAAAGGATACATATTCAAGACTTTGTTTAATATTGTTTATTTTTATTTATTTATTGATAGTATTACTAATTAATTAAATTTAGAACTAATAGAAAATCTACGGAGTTCAAATGTGTATGCCTTACCATATTCCATAATTTTCTTGAGAGACATGTATAGACCGTTAAGGATAGTATCAAAACCACCAAATTAATATGTTTTGTCGGCTAACCGAAAAGGAATACCTGCCAAGTCTAGAGAGCGAGGGAAAGTCCATTTTGCATTTTGTTGGCGGATAACCGCAAAGGTAACAAGCACTTTTAGTTGTCGGGATTTGGCCGCCAAAAAAACTAACGGGCCACCAAGAAAATTCTAGATTCCAGTAGTGATGCTTGTAGAGTAATAAGTTGATATAATGTTAAGATTGCTAAAACCATATATGTTCACTACCATATATATTTAAAATGGATACATATATAAATTAAGATTTTGAGGATACTGTTATTGAGATGGGGAAAATGCAAACCAAATTCACAGTTTACCACATTTCAGTAGTGAAATGCTTTGGATTCGTGTCCACTGCATACAATAAGTTGAACTTTTCAAACAGCTTCATGCCATATTACAACACTTTATGCACTTTAGACAAGAACCTAGTAGAATCCAATTGGTATACGTGCTCTATTTGCTAGCTAATGTGGTAGTAACTGAAGATAAATAAAACAAATCTCCCACCGAAAGTACTTATAAAGAGACATGTTCCTCAAACAAGGCATCCATGCATAATAAAGTTGGTTTTATCTGAAAAAAGCAAACAGAGGCTCTTCCAGTCATTGTAAAAGGTATTTGGATTTTTTTTTTGGGAAACTCACAACACAATGCCCCCCCTTTTATGTCGTATTCAACACTTCCCAATAATCATGACATATAAGATAAGTATTATATACAAGATAAGTATTTTAAAGTATGAATTAATCAATAATTAAATATACAAGTACCACTTAATGATCATGTTAATGTAGAAAAAAATCATTTGTATATGCTCTTTAATTGAGAGGACATATTAAATAAGAAACCTTGTACTTTTGTCTACATATGTGTCATTCTATCTTGGCCGGTAGCATAAATAATGTACTTAATACATGTGAAGTGAATCTGTCCAAAATACATGTAAGAGGGATATGCATTACAGTCAATA